GGAATTGGTCTGCAGCTTCCGACATGATCAGACTTTTATTTTATGGCCATGCCGAACGAGAGAGAGCGCGAGAGCTTATCTCTCCTCTCATGTGGCGAAGAGGGTGATCGCCCTGGGGCCCAGATCTTCTAGAAGGGTTCTCCAAACCCCAAGCCCGAGTCGGCGACGTCTGCATCCCTAGTGGGCAGTCTGGCCCCCCTCCGACGATGATCGAATGCCCAGAGAGAAGGAAGCAGCTCAGTCCTTGATGGGCGACGCTTGGCGTTCTGCCAAAAAATGCCACCATTGACCATTCATGGTCCGTCGAGCCTGTCCCTGGCGTGCCCAGCTGAGGGGAAAGCCCGACTGGGGAGACGGGCTTGTGTTGAAATATGCCTGCAACTGGGCACTCCATCATTTTTGGGGGTTTGGCTTGGCTTGTTCGGCGATTCCCATTGCTTGACAGGACGATTCTTCGTCGTGGTGGTGGGAAGTGTGCCAAGCCAAACGTATTTTAAAGTTTTCGTTTGCTTTCCCTAGGGATACTCAATTGCGTGTCCGTTTCTGTTATGATCTGCCTGTAGCCTTTTGGTAGATCCAAAGTCATGGCAACCAAAAAGTCAACGTACTGCGATGGGTTAAAGTACATAGTTGCTTGCACGTTTTGGCATGTTGGTTGAGTGAGGTAGGTAGCACGGTAAGTCCGACATCGATTCGAGGAGATCAGCAATCCCATACCTTGTCCGAATATGGGCTGCTTAATCTGTTGAATCTACATGGACGTCCCTTGGAACAGATCTCACCCTCTGTGCCCCCCGTAGTTCGGACGGAAGTCCAAGGTGGTCAGAGGACAAACGATCGGAGGAATCGAGAGCGAGAAAGCCGCCGCGCTCAACGTGCGGCGAGCGGGCTGATCGCGGACTGTGCGTGTTGGGAGGTGGGAGGTCGTGCAGACCGGGGAACGTCACTCCGGTTGCCGGAGCTTTTTTTTTTTTTTGTCACGGTTGTTTGTTGAGGACGGGAGAAGGACGGGTGTGTATGTTCAGCATCCGAGTACGGCTTCCGGTTGTACATGTCCTCGCGCCTTTTGATTCTTTTTGTGTTTTTTGAGAGATTCAGGTGGGTTGTCTGTCTTGTACGGTGATCTTGGGGTGGAAGGAGGAAGGTCGAGCGCGGATGTCGTCTGGGAAGCTTAGCTTTAGAGTGAGCTGTAGCTGTAGCTTGAGGCTCTAAATTTGTCTGTATCCGTGTATGTGGCTGTCACTTGTAGCTGCAACTGGCACTTCTGCTATGCTCGAAGTTGAATGGATGTATATACCGGTAGCTTACGAGTACTTCCCCCCGTGGCGGCTGTTCACATGAATGCCAGCTTCCCAGGCAACAAGGTCATCGCGAGAGGTTCCAGTCCGGGATCGCTGCGGGTTTCTCTCCGGAGACGAGGAGTTGAAAGTTGGACGTGGCGTTCTGCGGGCGATGAACTTTGCGTTTAGGGTTCTTTTTCGTGGTTGAACATGCGATTTGGGCGGAAGCGTGGTACGGGATAAGGCAAGAAGAGATGGCCAGACGATTGTTGTAGCTTGTGAGGTCTTCCTACTGAGCGTGATTGTTCTTCTTGCTTTATTGCCTGATGAGTGAGATATCCGGAGATCTGAGTGAAGGAAAACAGGCACGGAACCAGGCTCTGGTGCAAGTGAAGTCCAGGGTCGGTGACGGATGTATTTTGTATACGGGTTAGTATTTCGTGGAAAGTAGGCTTCCATCCTGAGACCTCTTGTAGCGAGATACCTTCAGTAGTCTGGAAGAGGAAATGAGCTTGCTCAACTGATGAAGGGGGGGTCTTGGTCGCGTTTGCATTGGTATGGGAAGAATTTGATATGATACTTGAAGAGTTTCGATAGGAGGAACGGCCATGCATCACTCTCTGTAAGCTTATACTCGATGAGAAGAAGTGAGTAGCGAGGTTTGGAATTCTTGGGTTCTTGACGAGGCACATACATGTCAAGAGATTCACTCTCACGATTGTGTCTGCTGGTTGCTATTGTATTGTTTTGAATATGATGTCGTTGTTGGCATTGCGCTGACTGGATCCTGGACATCACTCCGGCAATACGTTGGTCGTCACAAGGGTTCACGGGACCATGAAGTACCCGAGTGGCGTAAAGGTGTCACGGTCGCAGGACTCAAGGACATTGGGGTGCTAGTGAAGATAAGCTATCACGTAGATCATGTCCCCTGGATGCGAAGAGCTTCTTGACCCGTGGGTGAGGTTGAAGGCATGGAGACGTGCTCTGTTCGACGCATACGGTTGTCCTGCTGTCAGGGCATCGGCCTTTTCTTATGTAGAGTCTTGCTGTGTGATATGGATGGAAGCCGTCATAAGCAGGTCCTGTTTAGTCTACGTGGTAAAGGGGAGTTAGATGCGGGCTTCTGCGGCGACTGGAAGGTGAACTTACGTTCGGACGCTTCTCAGTATGTCTCTTCGCTCCGTCAAAGATTTTATATGCTGATACCAATATCATCCGAATTGTGAACGATCTTCAACCACGCTGGAATTAAGCCTCGACTTGGCGGCCATTCAGCAATCCAACTTCGATCTGCCTCTATTCATAATGACGCCTTACATCATGAGGAAATCCGGCTGCCTTTTCACTTTCATAAAAGTTATTTGCCCGGCAATCGAGCATGTTTCATAGCCGTGAAGTGTTGACTGGTGCATCACACTCGGCAGTTTTCCGTACCTTGACGTTTGAATCTCAGCTAGCTCCCGTTGATTTCGTTTCTCTTCCTTTTCAAGGATTTCAGGTACCCTGTAATTTCACACTGGTGCCTGTTGCGGGGGGCATTGAATAGATCCTCCTCCAGATGAGCTCAAAGATTCACGCACTAGGGCATTGAAACCATCGTGAGCTTACAATTATCGACGCTCACTAGAGACCAAACATAAATCCACCTACGTCAACTTCACCATCGCTTGAGTTTAGCCCGAGCAGCGAATTCTGGGGCAACAAGAGACGGGAAATCCCAGGGAAACCCCTCAGTCACGTAAGGAAAGTTGACTCTCGCAAACAAGTCGCAGAAGCTCATTGGAACATTCCTCGTGACAATATGATATTCAAAGGGACTCTATCCTCTCGTTCAGTGGCGTCAATGGTCGACGTGCTCATCCTCGTGGGCGAAATGAACACACTTGGGTGCGACAGTGCGTGCGGAAGCAGACGCCAGAGATAAAGCGGCGCGTTTGTCGAGCAGATATGAGCGCATAGGGACAGAAGATGGCAGGAGAAGAGAAGGGTCCAAGACATCATGGGTGTGCTCTCCTCAGGCGTTTGATACCTATCGAATACACTCTAGGGAGTGATAACAGGAGCTGTATAGCGCAGTAGTGAGTCTTCTCTAGCATCTCCTACGTTGTAGACAAATGAGAAGTTTATCGAGAAATGAGACGGGCTCCCAAATACAATTTCCGATGCGACATAGAGTTTCAAGAATGCCCACCAAATGGCCACATAGACTTGCCATAGAAGAGGATATGATGAGGATAAGATACTTTATATTATTCTCACAGATGCTTAGGCAGTTGCCATATTTCTTCCAGTCAGGAACGGAGAGAAATTATTTCACAAGCGCCAGATAACACTACTTAATCATTTCAGTCGTCTTGTTATACGCCTGCTCAGTAGTCGAATCGAGATTAACGAGGAGCGCGCAATCAGAAGCTCTAAGTTGCTGTTTCTGAGCATCCTCCTCTGTATGCCTCCCCGTAGTGCTTAGATTCGCAAAGTCAGGACCTCAAGCGCCTATTCTGCTCCTCCCCATCGTTTGATACATATCTAACATACTCTAGATAATGACAATTGAAGCTGAACAGAGCAGAGAGCCTTAATGCCGACCTCCTGACATGTGAAAGTCAAAGTATCAAGATAGACAACCTACGCCCTATGCCATTGCCGCGGGCTGCTCTCCACTACCGCAGTATGGTCCCGGAATCATTCCGAGAAGCCACCCATACTGCTCTCTCTAGTATTTGACTGCGCAGTGCAGTATTTATACCATTTCTCGCCCTCGTGCGGCTTTGGGATGTGGCCTACTCGACACCTCGAGAAGAAGGTACCAGAATGCTCCGGCAAATTTATTCCTGAATCAAAGCGTCAGATATGACTCTGTCGTAATGGAGGAGTTCTTCACGTAGTCCTCATCATACAAGCGATCAAGCCAGCTCGAGATATCGCAACTCAGAATAGAGAGACTGGGGGCCTTCAGGCATATGGGTTTGATCACTTTACTTCGACGATTACACCTTAAAAAAAGGCATTTGTCGAATGCTGGGGGTTTGAGCCTCCCGTGTTCTCGTAACTCCTTCCATCTCTGCCTTACATGATGTATAGTTCCCTAATTGCCAACCGCCTCAGAGTATTCCGTGCCGGTGCTATGCCAAGTCCTTCACATTATCTCAGCCTTACTGACAGACGAAAGCCGACAGCATAGAACAGTACGCGAGGGGCCACCGAGAGTGAACGTGTAGGAGAAGCCTTTGTAGGTAGCTCTCACACCGATTGAAGGCAGCACCTCGATTCCCCGAGATGACTTGAAATCTTCCCTTTCGCCTCCAGGATAGGTCGAAGATCAATCTGGCGAGAATACTGGGGATATCCTCACGATGTAAAACCTCAACCTCCTTCTCCTCAAGCCAAGTTTCTGGTCACACGTGAGCTCTTGACCCCGGGCGTTGAGTTCAGCCACGTACCACGTCTTTTGACACAAGTAGTGCAACCCACCTCGCGCCTCTGGCAGCCAAAGGGGCCTATGCCAACAACGCGAGGCGTTCATCACCCACCAAGCCTCAAAGCTCACGTCAGGTAAATACCATCCCATCTATACAGGAAAACCCGAATCCTGCCCACTTCTCAATAACGTGCCGGCATAGTTTCCAACATGAGCTCCCACATACCACGAAGAACGGAGGACGAAGATGATGTTGGCTAAAGTACGTCACGCGGACAAGGTACACGCTTGATATCGCATTTCTCGTCACACATCCCGTCATAATACTCATGCACCAAGAAGATAAGCGTCAAGAGCGGTAGACCTATTCTCCGACTTCTGATAGAGATAATGCGGATTTTATACCGTCTCGACTTTGTAGTCTACTGAATTCTCGTAAGTCGCCATTTGTCAAAGTCCCAAGATCTAAGTCCCCGTAATCCAATGACATAAGAGAAAAAAAACCCATCGTCGCCCGACACACCCGTTGCCCAAAGACATTCCCATAAGAAGAAAGGAAAATAAAACCGAGGAAGAAGCGGCCACCCAACTATACTCCCATCGTGAAATCGTGCTCGATGCCAGGCGTGACGCTGGCCATGAACTACAGCAAGTTAGCATCATCACCCTTGCAAACTTCTCACATATAGGAAAACGTACCTTCAGGAAAACAACCAGATACTGATCCACCCGGATCGCAACCTCCTGCTCGTCAACCTCGCTCTGCTCAACCTCCTCCCACTCGCCGTCCTTATCGGCAGCGGCCTGAGCATCCTTGACATCCAGCTTGCCCAGCTCGTCGACGAGGCCCTCCATGCCCTGGTCCCCGCCGACGGCCTTGCCGGCGCGAAGCTTCTCGCGCCGGATGCGCAGCGCCCCGTCGGCGCGGTCGAGCATCGTCTTCATCACGGACGCGTGCTTGCACGGGTGCACGCTCGCCATCTTGATGTTGTTGGCGAAGAAGGGGAAGTCCTCGAGCGTCACCGTCTTGTCCTTGTAGTCGCCCACGATGTCGTCCATCATGGCGTGCGGCGGTAGCGGCTGGCCGTTGGGCGAGTAGCCCGAGAGGTAGAGGCGGGGTGTGCGGTAGTATGTTGAGTACATGATGTAAAGGGTGTATGTCCGGCGACCGCTGTGAAAGTGAGAGGTCAGCAATGTCTTCTCAAAGAAGCCTCCATGTGATCAGTACCTGTTCTTTCCGTTGTCTCCTGCATCGCGGATGATGGCCTCGTCGTCATCTTCATCCTCCATATCCGGAATCTCATCGTCATCCTCCACAACCTCCCGGTCTCCCACATTTCCCGAGTCGTCCACCGTCCGCACCTCCTTCACCTTGAGCGGCTGCGAGCTCGCCAGCCCGCCCGTGCGAAGCCAGCCATCCTCGTCGTCGTCGCCGGCCCCGGAGCTCTTGCCGCCCTCCACGACGGCCTCCTCGTGGCCCGCATCGCCGGCGAAGTCGTCGTCGAGTCGGCGGTTGCAGGGGACGTTGCGCGTGACGAGGAACTGCTTCCCGGGAGGCAGGTAGCTGACGCGGCGGCTGTCGGCATCGGCGTCGCCCCAGGACCAGGTCGGGAACTTGTAGACGAGGTAGTCGCCCGCGGCGACGAACTCTTCGGGGGTGATTTGGCCCGTCTGACGGAAGGTGGACTTGTGCGATACCGGCGTGTACCGGTCGCGGAGTGTGTTGACGGTCGAGTAAAGAAGATTCATCGTTGACGTAGGTCTGTGACGTATAGGAAAGCTTCGGTATCTCGAGTCGGTGACGCTGTGTGTTGAATGGTATCGATGGTCTCTTAAGTGTATAGTTGCTTTGTGGTGACGCGGTCGTCTTCAGCGGTGTCTTTCTTGCTGATGAGAAGGATGTTGTTGGTAAGGGTAAGAAAGACAGCCTAGTCCTCCGCCGACTCTGAGAATGATGTAGTTTGTCGTAGTTCCGCCTGATGTCGATGACTAGGAGTCAAGCTCGTGGCAGCTGTTCAGGGCGATCACATGGATGGCGGGGTTGTCTCACGATTGGACAGGGAAGATGGTGGCGGGGTTGCCGCCTGCCTGCGCTGGTGCTGGGGGATCTGCTTATCTTATCGGCCGTTGGAAGCTACTGTACCTTAGGTAGTAGTCCGCCTAGGTACGACAGACAACAGCTTCCTCAACACAGTTGCGCCATTGAAACCGGTGGAAGCGCACGGATCGCGCTGGTTAGAGCTGTTTTGCTGTAGCATAGGCTGACTCTGATGTAGCCTGAAACTCACGCCCGGGTGGCCGATGAGTTGCCCTTTGACTACATTGGAATTGTGCTCCTCAGCTTTTGATCTAGAAACTAGCTAGACAAAGCTGTGGGAGGCCGGAGAACAAGGGAACATCTGACATGTAACTTGCCCTTCTCATCTCGAGGGTGGTCCTCACCATTTCGGTTGTGCGATTTGGATCAGAGTGAGTGTCATGGAAGTCTCACTGGACAACATGCCCAGAGACGAAGGTATTCAGCCGCGACAGGGCTGTGGTATCTTTGAGTCCTAGCATCCTATTCCTCCTCCTCACTACTAACTTCCTCCCCTGCTTCTATGGCCTCCTGCCGTCGCTTCGCTGCGCGCTCCCTCTTTCGATCCAGCAACTTCTTCAACCTCGAGGCACCGTTGAAGACGCCGTTCGTCCCTGACCCGCACGCGGCGCATGTGGGGTCCTTCCTATACCTCTTCAACGCGCAAGGCTCGCAAAAGTAGTGACCACACCTCGTGATGATCGGCGCCTTGTAAGGCTCCCTGCATATGATACACGCGAACGGGATATTTTCCAACATGGCCTCCTCGTCGTCGTCATCGTCATCGGCCTTGGTGCGGTCCGCGCTGGCAACGACGGTTCCGGCAATGTTCTTCTTCCCCTTTGTGACGTTCTCCCACTCCTTGTCGAGCTGCCATCCTTGCTTATAGTCTTCTCTGGCGTGGAGATACTTGCAGTTATCGCCGAAGCCACAGAAACCGGTTTGTTTGTACTAAAGATTGTTAGTATCTATGATTGAGGAGGTAACGTGATGGGCAACTTACGTCTTTGCAAACGTCTGGTGCGAAATCGGTGACTGTGATGGTCCTGATATTGGTGGGCGCCTTGATGGGGCCCACTGTCTTGTTCGGGGCGTCTGGGTTCTTCGTGATGAACGAAGTCTGGTTCGCCAGCCCCTTGTATGTTCCGTCGGGGGCCTGCGATGTCTTTGCGACAGCTCGCGAGCTGCCCAGTAGGTTCTTTGATGAAAGAGCGTCCTTGCCGTCCTCGTCGTACCAGTTGCTTTGTTTCGTGGCATCGTTGGAGTCTGATATGGGCACACTGCGATCGGCGGTAAATACTGTGGCGGAAAGGTCTTGTTTCGACTTGGCGATGTCCTTGGATGAGGCCGTGATGGCGCCTGCCTTTGTCTTTCGCCTCTTGACCCGCTGGCCTGCTTCGTCTTCGGAGGATGAGTAGTCGGAGTCAGAGTCGCTGTTCGCGGGCGGCGGTGTTGCGGGTCTTTTGCGGATGTTGGCTTTGCCCTTTGCGCCGCGCCGCTTGAAGATGGCGACTGGCGCATCTGTTGCTGGGGCGCTGTCGGCCATGTTTGATGGATCTGGGCGTCGATCGCAAGTGTACGTCGGTGTTTGAAGATGGACGGAATATTCTGATTTCGTTGATATAGATTGCCTAATGAGTCTTTGATGATCCGCAGCTAAGGCTAGGCAACGTCGGTAGTTGAGAGAGAAGTTTGGGGTTACCCTTGGTCAACTTTAGCTTTGATGGCGATCATCAGCTCTCGGGTTCGAGAATACCTTCTAGAATGATCAGGTCAAGCCACAGGGCTGACAAATTTCGTGGCTTGAGCGAAAGACCCATATAGAGGGGCGAAACCAATCAGGTGTCTGGACTGATACGGCTTAGCGTCATGGGGCGGCGCCGAGTGCAGCTGCCAGTCAGGAAAATCGGGAGGCTGGAAGACCAGGGAACGATTGGTCAGAAACTGGAGAGACTAGCACACAGAAGTTCGCAGGGATGAGCTTCCAAGCTGGGTTAGAGCTGGCTTATGGTGGATGCGAGCTAAGATTGGCCAAAGTTATGCGACCAAAACGAGTTTACCCCAAGGAAACATCTGGGCGCGTCTTCACGGGCATTGTTTTGAAGCGATGCGATATGGTGGTATGGATTGGCGGGGAAGAGCCCATAGATGGGCGACGATGGATGGCCGATGCCATGCCATGCCATGCCATGCCCTGCGATCTGACATGACTGATTGCTTGCATGAGCATGTGTATCCGTACTAGCTGGGAAGCGGTATTCTTTGGTGGGGTCGGGATGGATGCTGTTCTTGAGAACTTTCTCATGGTCTCACCCACTGTGCTGTCTGCTGTGCGCGTGAGAGAATGCTGCCATGTTGTTGGAATGGGCCGTCGGGATTGGCTACGGATGCGGCTGTAGCAGCGGCAGCCACACGGAGCGTTTCTGTCTGCGAGAGGTAACGGCATTGGACGATTGAATGGAGACGTCTCCTGGGTGGTGCATGAGGCCATGGTAAAACAACAAAACAACTGCATGTTGAAGCCATAAGTCGATTTTGTACTGCAAAGCTGACCTTCTGCATGCAGTAGGCAGCTGCCTGTCCCAGGTAGCTGACTGAATAAACTCACCTCCTGCATTTGTTTCCTAGGTAGAGTGGCAGAGCCCCCCATGCTGTGCATTGCCCGCAATCTTGAGCTGATGTCCCCATTTTCTCGTCCCTGCAAGTGCCGCCTCAGTGGCTTTGCTACGTCTTGATGAATGGATCCCAGTTGTCTTCGCTAAGGCATGTTGAAATTGAGGGCTTTCAAGTGAGTGCTTAGAGCTGAGTTCGGCAACGATGATGACGATGATGCACAGATGACTAGCCGTCCGCCTGGGTACCTAGGATCCTAGGTACTTGACTCAACCAAGGTGGATATACATACATAAGACGGGTAGATAGTAATTAGTACGGCAGATCATGGATATCGACGGGAATATGGAAAAAGGTGCGGCTTAAGTCACTGCTAGTGTGATGATGTGTTGTTGAGCTGCTGTCAGTTGATGGCCGGCTTGCACGCCACGGCCAGGGATGACAGCACATTATCGATAAGCACCCGTTATTCGTACAACAACAAGGCCATTATCCACCCAGTCCGCGAACGGATGCAAATAGCACGAATGGAGCAGTCGCAAGGCAAACTGTCAGGTACCCGAAGTTGTGCAGTTGCACAGTCATAGGTGCAGGCATTCTGCAGCTCCACGGTGGAACCCACAAGACAGCGAGACCTGGCAAGCACCCTGCGTTCTGGACAAGCATAAGGGGTGGAATTGACAGGCACAGGCACAGGCTCAGGCTCAGGAACAGGAATAAAATGGATAGTCGTTGAGATGGGTCTCGTCTGTTGCTATTCCCAGTCAGGAGACGGGGGGGGGGGGGGAACACAACTCTCGTCTAAACCACACTCCATCTGGGTCCTGGACTCCTGGCCACCTGGTCTAAAATCACTTGTATCCATATACTCCGTACACAGTAGTTGTGCACGCATGCCGTAACGCGTGAAGGGGGAGAAGCGCATAGCTAGTGGTGAATAACAATGCCCTTGTTGCGAACATTCTCATGCTCTACGCAGTACCTTACTGTGTACTGTATTGTGGAAGTGTGGATTGTGTAAGGAAGGTACCTATGAAGGAACAATTTGAGGATACTTGAAAGTGAAAGAGGATCCCCTCGTGCCTTCCTCTTTCCACTCTCCTCCTTCTCTCTTTCGCGACTCTGCCCTTTCCCAAATTAATTACTAACCCCTTCCACGTTCTCTCCCTCCATCCCTCCTTCTCCTCCCTTTCCCCTCCTCGTCGTCCGTCGTGTGTCTGTCTCTTTCCCTTTGCCGACGCCGACACCCGCCGACCGTCGCCTCCGTCCCTCCTTCTTGTGCTTCCATCCGGTCGCGTCACTCTACTCAGACGGGCATCGACCTCGAGTCTCCCATTCAGTTTGGAGCATCGCACCAGGAGAAAAAGACGCAAGACCAGCAACAAGTAGCGTTACAGGAAAGAAGAACCTTGTTGCCAAATAAAGACGAGGACGTAATTGTCTATCGTCTTCATCATCGCGACTTGGACCTCTCTCTTTTCTCCTGCTTTCCGTGCTGGTTCGGGGGCATCCCATCTTCCTTTCCACCTTGTTTTTTTTCTCGTTCTAATTTACACTGCCTTTTTTTCTATTCAAGCTTTTGTTACTAGTTACTCCCACCTTCCCTACAATCGCCCTAAAAACGAACAGGTATCTTACCTGCAGCTACCCGACCTTATTCCTTCGCTATCTTTCTACGGGCCAATACCCGTTTCTCGTTCTTTCTTACCTAGTTTTTGGTCTGACTCTTCGCGCCTTCCTCCGTCTGCCGCCGCCGCCGCCACCTCCGCGCTCCGCTATACGTCAATCTTCCCGACCGATCGGTTTGCGACTCTGCTCAAGCCAATACTACCTGGTGCTACTTTACCTTACCTTACCGTAGGTAGACCCAGCTACCTAAAGAGAGTCAGAGGGACACCCACAACGGCACCATCTCGTCACCTCACTGTTCACCGCCGCGCGTGGTCGCCTCGTATTACCGGCCCGTAATCATCTGCAGAATATCCTCAACTGAGACCTCAGCGCTCTTCGAACACGCCAGCTCATTTACTTTTTCTCTCCTGGCATCTTTCGCCTCTATCCGTCGACACTCACGGGAAACGGTAGACGTTTCCGTAATAATCCCATTGTCTTATTCTTTGCCGCCGTTTTTTTGTTTCTCACTGTCCCTTTCCCCGGACATAGGCCGCTCTTGCACTGCACACAGTCACGCAACACACACCAACAAAACCCCGGTCGTTCGTTCCCGTCTCCAAAGCACCAACCGCTTTTAGGTTCTTAAACCTTTCGCCGTCTGGTTCTTTCTTCTGCCCATCGGATCCTGCGGCTTTCTAAAAAGGTACGTAAAAGTGTCTGTGTGTCGAGAAGGGGAACAGAACGAAAAAGGGACGAAAAGGAAAAGAGAAAAAATAGACCCCAAAAAGTACAGCGCCGACCTGAAGTTCTGGCGCAAGAAAACAAGAGCAACCACAAGGAAAGGAAAAGGTGCGGGCGCGCCTAGCTCATCCCACCACCCCGTCCCATCCTCTTAGCTGCATCCTCCGTGCAGATACTCAAGGCCAAACAACAAAGCAGACAGGCACTGCCTTGCTTCTACTGGTCGCGTAGCGCATTTTTTTCTGCAGGACCTGACCATCGCTCCATAGGACCATCACACACAACCCGCCAGCGCCTGCGCCTGCGTAAGGAACCACTGGGGACCGCATTCCAGTCAACAACACAACAATCCATCGCACCGCAATCGCTGTCCTCTGTCCTTCTCAGGTCAGCTGTGGGAGGGGGAACACAAACAACAAAGCCCCCCGTCAACGTCAACAAAAAACATCACGCACCCCCAGTAAACACCACTCTCTTCCACCTACTTCCCTTTGCGACCAGCCCCGACTTGCGCCTTCAATTCCTCGGCTTTCAACTCTTTTCTACCTTCCCTCGTTTCTCTTTTCCTCTTGGGTTTTCTCTCCCACGTGGGTGACGACATCTTCCCCTTCTGCACACGGCAGCCGGCTCTGCACGCCCCGCGCTTGTGTTGCAGCTCATTACCTCAGGTCGCCCTATCCCCCGTTCGGTACCGGCTATTTCCCTAAGCTTGCTTGACTCGGCCGATAATTGCGACAACACAACTGTCTGTCTACAACCGCACCACCAGCAATCAACGCCCACGAGACGACAACAACATCGCTGCTCCGCGGATACGTGCACTGGATGTCGCCACAACGTATCTGACGGCGGCATCCCCCATTGTTTCCACCCAACATGGCTACCTCACTCGCCGTCGATAAACCCCATCTGCCGCCTGTTGAAGCAGATATGAATGATCCTTTCGTATCCCCGCCTGGCCCAGCCCACAATCGCTACTCTACCTACGACAGCCAATCCTTCAGCTCATCGCCAGGCCAGGCGAAGCGCGCACTACAAGCGCATATTGCAGATACCGAACGACGCCTTGACGAAGCCGGAAAGCTAGGAACTGCACTGGTCCACCAGCGCAAGGAACTTGCAGAACGATTGAAGGAAGTCGAAGAGCAGGAGACAGAAGGCGAACTCGCTCCCGAGTTGCGCGCCAAGCTCGCCGATATCGAAAAGGAGTACAATGATGTTGCTCGAGAGACTGCCAGGGCTTTCTTGCCCAAGCAGAGAGTTCCCAGCAATGAAGCCGCTGGAGGCTCACCCTACGTCCCTGATGGAAGAATAGGAAGAGTAAGTCTGCGCCGAATACAAGTGGCGCATGTCTGTTCCGGCTAACCATGCAATAGCGCTCCGTCAGTCCATCCAAATTTGAGAAGCTCGAGATTCAGGCCACCGGATCGCCTAGTAAGCTCAGTGTCCCGAACCGCAAAGTTAGAAACCAGCCCGCCAATCGCATCCACGACATCGAGTTCGCCGCCGAAATCAGCACATCCTTGATTGCCCAGGTTCGCAACCTTCAATCACTTCTTTCCGAAAAGGATGAAGAGCTTCGCGACATCAAGGTCGACAAGTCCAAACTTGAAATCGAGAACGAGAACTTTCAACAACGCGTTAAGACTCTGGACGAAAGCGAGAATCGGTACAAGGACGAGAACTGGAACCTCGAGACTCAGATCCATGATTTGATCGCTTCGCAAAAGGACGCCGCGGATCGAGAGAAGAAACTCACGCAAAGCCTCAATGTGCTCCAGGTGGAGAAGAACTCGGCGCAGAAGGAGCTTGATGATGCTAAGGTCTCACTTGCCAAGCTCGCCGAGGAGCATGAGCGAGCTGTGAGGCACCTGGACCTCGACTTGACCACCGCCAAGCGAAATGCGGCCACGGCGGAAACCGAGAGAAATGCCTTGCGAAGAAAGGTGGACGACTTGATGAGCCAGAACACGGAGCTCGCCAAGGCTATTTCAGTCCAACGAGGTCGCATGTCCGATCGCGACTTTGTTCGTGGTGTTAGCGACGAGGACTTTGAGACTGCGACGGACGGATTCACCCCCGAGCACTCACCGCCGCCGTCGCCCATCAAGGGTACTCCTCGCCATGCTATGCTCGAGTCCGAGACTCTCAAGAGCTCTCTGTTGCATGCCCAGCGAACCATCCAGAGCCAAAAGACTGTCATTCACCGTGAAAAGACCGAGAAGCTCGAGCTTAAGCGACTCCTCCAGGACACGCGCGATGAGTTGGAGAAGCTTCGTACTGACGGCGCCCCCGCCCCTGCTCGTCGCACCCGCAAGGTTGAGTCGCGAGAGTTCAAGAAGCCGTCCCGCGGCTTGCTCGGCGGCCACCGTAGTAGCAGGAATGAGGTCTACCAGGACGACAACGAATGGGAAGAGGCCACTGAAATTGGTAGCCCGAGAACTTCGCCCACCCTTCGCTCCAACTCCACCGTCCGCAGACCCGGCAGCCGACCCGGTAGCAGCTACAGACCACAATTCACCGACGTCAGTGATGCCTTCGAGACTGCCAACGAGACTAGCGACGCTGCCTTTGAGACTGCCAATGAGCGTGGCACGGAGACGGAGGACTTCCAGACCGGCGTGGAGGACTTCTCCGGAGGCGACGACACCGAGACTGAGACAGAAAGCCCGTCTAAGGGTCGTGAGCTGCGTCCCCAGACTCTTGTAATGGGAGGAGGCCGAAACTCGTACGATAGCACTGCGTCAACCTCAGCCGATGAGGATGAAGAGTATATCGAGTACAGGACGCCAACGTCGCAGTACAACAACCAGCGCATGCGCGTCAGGCTTGGACGAGGATTGATGAACCGCCGTTCTAGGCAGGTCAGCGAGGAGCCAAACTTCCAGAGCAGCCCCGCCAGTGCTGCCACAGGCAGCGCTACTGGAACACCACAGCCTACAGAGGGCCAAAGCTTGTTCGCAGAGCTCGGCGAGCTTGAGAACAGTGATGCTGAGAGCATTGAAGAGACACCAAGCCGTGCTAGATCCGCAACCGCCGATTCGACATCCACTCCGGCAGTGCCCACTCTGTCTCACGACTCAGTCAATACCGGCAGCATGACGGACCCTGTTAAGAGAGCGGCCGCAGCTTCGAGACCCTTGATGGTCGACTCTGGTATGATGACAGAGCCCATGATTGAGTCGCCTCCGTTGTCCCCTGTAAGTGTGGTTCACGACGAGAAGGCCGAGTCCTTGGGATCTATGATGGCCGCCAGCCAGGTCGCCCGTCACTTGTCCCAAGATGATGCCACAGACGGAGTGCGCTCCAGACCGTTGTCTACGCTGTCGTACAGTGACTCTGGTGCTCAGTATGATCGGGATATGGAGGCTAAGCTGGCACAATTCCCAATGCCACCATCTAGCCCGCAGCACTTTGTTCTGCCGCCGCCTCCCGAGCTCAGTTTGTCATCCATTGACGCTCAGGATATCGAGCCAGTTGTTGAGCCCGTGACGCCACCTCCTGCTCCAGCTCCTCTGACCATGACATCTCTCGTGTCAGAAATCGTCGAGCCCGTTGCAGAGCCCGAGATTCCGGCTCCTGTCTTGGCCTTCACTTCGCTTGTCTCGGAGATTGTTGAGCCAAAGGCTGAACCCCCGATCCTGCCTCCGACCCTGAGTATCTCGACATACCTCTCAGAGGTGGTCGAGCCAGTGGCCGAACCTGAGGTGCCGCCTCCGGTCTTGAGTCTGTCGGCTCTTCAAGCCCACAACCTTGAGCCCGTGGCCGAGCCCGAGACTCCCCCGCCGACGCTCTCACTGTCGGCCTTGCATGCTCATAACCTTGAGCCGGTTGCAGAGCCTGAGACGCAAGCTCCTGCTCTTAGCCTGTCGGCGCTGCACGCCCACGACCTGGAGCCGGTAGCCGAGCCTGAGGTTCCTCCTCCGGCTCTCAGCCTCTCTGCTTTGCACGCACACAACCTCGAACCCGTCGCGGAGCCCGAGGTCGTGACCCCGGTGCCAGACCTTACCTTGTCGGCCCTCTTGTCCGAGCACATTGAGCCCAAGGAGGAGCCTGAGACGTCCAGATCTCTCGCGGCGATCCCTGCTCCCATCCCCGTGCCAATCTCAGCACCGGCGCCAACCCTCACTCTATCGTCGATTGCGTCCGAGAACGTGGAGCCGCGAGAAGAGCCCGAAGTCCCCGCCGTTGTGCCCGCGCTCAGTCTTTCGGCAATCGCCACTGAGCACGTCGAGCCCAAGGCAGAGCCTGAAGTCGTCCCATCGGCGCCGACCCTCAGCCTCTCAGCGCTGTACTCTCACAACCTGGAACCTCAAGCAGAACCCGAGGTGTTGCCTCCCGCTCTCAGCCTGTCGTCCATCGTGGTCGAGCATGTCGAGCCTAAGGCCGAGCCCGAGATCATTCCGGAAGTACCGGCGCTCTCGTTCTCGTCTATTGCAGCTGAGAACATTGAGCCAAAGGCGGAGCCTGAGGTGATCGTGCCCGCTCCAGTACTCAGCCTCACATCGATTTCTTCCGAGAACATCGAGCCCAAGGCCGAGCCTGCGCCAGCTCTTACCATGTCTTCGATCTCATTCGCAAACATTGAGCCTATCGCCGAGCCCGCGGTGTTGCCACCATTGCCCCCAGCCCTCACCCTCTCTTCCATCTCATCGGAGAACATTGAGCCTAAGGTAGAGCCCGAGGTTCCAGCTCCTGCGCCCGCACTCCTCGCGTACTCGACAATCTCATCTGAGCACGTCGAGCCTCGCGCTGCTCCTCAGCCTGTTCTGGACTTCTCATCAGTATTATCTCAGCACGTAGAGCCCGCCATTGCGCCAGAAACCGCGGCGCCCAAGCACAATTTCGGTTTCTCCACGATCGAGTCAATTGAGACGCAACCCATCTCGCCCAGAAGCCCGAAGCGGGATGCTTTTATTCTTCCCCGCGACATGGATTCGCCATTCGATGAGAAGGATGCGCCAAGGACGCCCTCCAAGAATGCTCTGATGAGCTCCGTCTTTGGTCGGGGAAAGAACAAGGCCTCCGACAGCCTTATCATTGCGGAGGACGACACTCGGCAATCGCCTAGCGACGAACGTCTGTCCGAAACTCCCGAGTCCCAACGGCCGTTCAAGGAAATTTCAACTAACGCCACCGGCCGCCCTGCACCCAAGGTCATCGTTCCCATGTCTGATTCAGGTGCCCAGACTTCCCTGACCGCTGATGCGATTGATGAGATGCTCCTCGCCAAGACCAAGGCCACATCTGACAAGTCATTGTCGAGCTTCGGTACCCCGAGCACTCCTGGCACCGTTCGCATTCGCCGTCCTTCTCACGACAGCCTCAGCAGTTTCTCCACCGAGAACAAGATGGATACAGCATTCAGAAGGCCAGGAAGTGCCAACAGCAACCTCGCGCCTACTCAACCGCTACCCCCTCTCCCGCCCAACCACAAGGAAGCCATTGAGGCTGCGAGAACTGGATCGTCGCATAGTGCGGTTATGGGTCCTCCCTTGTGGCCTGCCTCTGCCATGAGAAACCAGCGACCACAGACTCCCAACGGCGCCGCCAGACCGCAGTCGCCGCTGTCGATCTCGACATCAATGAAGGCAACGCCTGTTGCTCGCGGCACGCGCGCTGGTTCGGCGTACGGCACCGCCGAGGTTCACTCGCCGACTAAGTTGTCTACTATGAGCAGACACTCTTCGGTGTCGTCGTTTGTTTCTGAGATTGACCACCGTTTCAACCCTCAGGCTGAGCTGGCTGCCGCAACAGGCTTCGGTCCCAACACCGATCCCCGCATGATCCAGGCCATCACACAGACCATGATTGGCGAGTACCTCTGGAAGTACACCCGCAAGGCCGGCAGGGGAGAAATGTCCGACAACAGACACAGACGCTACTTCTGGGTTCACCCGTATACTCGCACTCTATACTGGAGTGATCGCGACCCGGCCACTGCTGGCCGTTCTGAGCTTCGCGGCAAGAGTGTGCCCATCGAGGCCGTTCGTGTGGTCACCGATGATAACCCAATGCCACCCGGCCTGCACCGCAAGAGTTTGATCGTTATCTCTCCCGGCAGAACCATCAAGTTTACCTGCACAACTGGTCAGCGCCACGAGACGTGGTTCAACGCCTTGTCGTATCTTCTGCTTCGCACAACCGACGAGGGCCAGTCCGATGTCGAGGAGATGGCTGGTGCCATCACTCAGGCCGATGTGGACGAGTTCAATCCGCAATTCGGCCGTCGCACCAACTCCACGGCCCGTCCCAGGCCGCCTCCGTCTCTGTCATCATACAACTCACGGACAACTCGTAACCAGTCTCCGGCAGTCGACATGTCAATGAACGTGCCTACGCTTACCCCGAACAAGCACTCGATTGCTCAGGCTCAGAGACCCACCATGGCTGGTAGGATTAGTGGCTACTTTGGCACCTTCTCGAGTCTGAGGAGCCGCTCCGCTGCGGCCCCGACCCCAAGCATCTACGAGGCTAGCGAGGTGCATGACAGCGCCGAAGACCTCCGAGAGATTATTGAGAGACAAGATCGGGACGCCGACCGGCTCGAGAACGTGCGCGCCTGCTGTGATGGTGAGCTACCCTTACATCTGTGTTGGAATGAATTTATGTTGCTAACAATGACCAGGCAAGCACGATGTTGGTACTCTTCATCACCACCCTAAGAGGGGTCGGCCCTCTGGCGCCCATTCTCACTCTCACTCTCACTCCCAATCTGGACCATCAACGTCTGCCACGCCCATGAGCACCGTAAGGGCGCGATCATAAAGTCGCTGCCAACACTGCCCTTGAATATCTGTCTACATGCGGCTGTTGAGCAGTCTACCGTAATATAAACCAATGAAGCATCCTTCAAATCCACTCGCTACGCCAAGAAACTGGCCCGCCCTGTGGGAACACGCTCCCCACTCATGATCAATTCGCTCCCACGCAACGGATCACGACGTCTATGACAACCATCTCCTTGTCGTCTCTGCCTAGGATGCCCTGCGACCCAGGCCCCATTCTCCTTCCGGTTTCGACCTAATATAGCTTACGACTGCATCCAGGACCCTGGCGTCCTACGACCAAATTTCATTCAACGCGTCCTGCCTCACATGGCCTGTCTCGATTATCAAAACACCATTGCTCGACTCCTGCCAGCCAAAATCCGAATACCCCCGGATGACTGACATCTATGCTTTGTCCTGTCCGACTCTGCTTTTCCGCTGTTTTTTTGCCGGGAGCGACCTTGTCATGGTTTTAATTGTTTCATGGCACCGGCGAACTTGGGAAGGAAATTAAGAATGGGGTCTCCCCCCTTCAGGGAAGAGAGAACAGAAACATTGGCGTATTGTACTACCAGCTGTAATGGAGTCCAGTCTTGCTTTGTGTTCCTCTTGTCTCTCTTGTTGGATTGGCCACGGCAGGCAAACAAACACCACCCGAAATGGGCAACCACAAAAAAAAAACAACAAACCAACCATCCACCTTTTTCTATGTACACCTTTTTCTTCCGGCTTTAGTTTTCTTTGGGAACGTCAAAGTCTGTCTTTTTATCATGTTCAGTAGCTCCTTTTTTTTTTCAGGGGTCAACCAGGCAAAAATGCCTAGCCCGGGGAGACCCGGGAGGAGTTTTTGGGGACATTATTGTAGATGTAGTTACTTGAATTGCCCTCTTTTGCCCTGACTTGATGTTGCTCATTTCCAACCCGCATTGATAGTGACCTTGTGAGGATTGATGTGCGGCCCATGTTGCGGGTAGGTGAGACTTTTGACGGGACTGTCTGAGTCCGTTTGGCGCGTTCTCGGGAGCGAAGAACTACCCAGAGTCAAACGCGAGGGTTGAGAATACGGCAACGTTTGCAACGGTCTGGGTGTTGGTCGTTTGCGCGGAACCGTTCGATTTCCCTCCCTGCCTTCCGCTACGGCTAATTAAACGTGATGGATACGGGTCAGGTGGGTTATAGTAGTTCGTTGCCCCGTGTTCAGGTTCAGCTGGGATTATCCTCTCAGGACAAAATCATTGACTCCAGTTGGGGGAGTGTTTTATTGAGCTTACTTTGCATTAGACCATCACCACCATCGCGAGTGATTCCGTTACAAAGCGAGAAAAGCATGTAGTTTCGTACCCACCGGAGAAAGAGCAAAGACATATGTGTATGTGTATGTATATATGTACGCAATGTATACGGATCAGAGTCTGGTATCCTACACTCTTAGGAAGAAGAAATATTTCAAACTCCATGATCCGCTTCTCCCGATTCCCTAAACCCCCGATCCCATCCCATAATCAATGAATGCCATATGCCCACGCCTAATGTCATGATGCCCAACTCCACCAAAAAATCCGAAACAAACGTAGACACTCCGCCAAGAATCATTACTTCACCTTGACGCTCGGCCTCCCGTCTACACCGACGACACCCTCGTCCTGCTCATCCATCCACGCGGAATAATCGTCGTCGTCCTCGTCGACACCAGAGACGTTCACCGGCTTGGCCACAATAGGATCGTCAAGCTTCGTATCTCGACGCTGCGGTAACGGCGGTGGCGCCCGGCTCTTGCTCTCCTCCTCCTCTTTGTTTCCGTGTCCCTTCTTCTCGTCGACCACGATGCGATCTCGACCTCTCGTCCTCTCCTCCCTAGCACCGGTATCCCTTTCGCTGTCAGAGACGTCCTCGGCCCAGGGCTGAACGTACGCCGGCGGCGGCATACTCTCCTCCATGGGCGTCGAGGGCTCCGAGTCGAGCGGCGCTTCCACAACCAACAAGCTCTCACCACCGCCGTCCGTGTTCTTGCTCGTGTCCAGATGACGCCGCGAGGGCAGAGGTGGCGGCGGCACGGGTCTGCGCTCCGATTTCGCATCCGACGTCGCCGCCGAGTGAGGCCGTTCAGGGAGATTTGGCGGCGCGATGGGCTTGCGCTTCGGCACAGGGATTGTCGTCACTTTAGAGCCTCTCACAGGTGGAGGCAACGGCGTGCCTGGTGGAGGCAGAGGCTGACCCCTGCCCATCGGCTGGTTGAGGTCGAGCGGGGGATTTTGCTCCGTCGAGGCGCCGTTCTTGGCGTCCTTGTGCTTCTGTATCGCATTCCAACCCCACTGCCTCGCCGTGACCGCGGCGTTGGCAACGGCAGCGAGCGTCGTGCGCTTTCCCTCGCCATTTGTCGATGTAGTCGAGTTCGTACTGCCAGTGTTCTCTCTCCGAAAGAGGCCCTTGGAGATGGAGCCCGTAGCGCTTCTGACCGAGGCTCTTGAAGATGTGGTGGGTGAGTTTGGGTCAGTCGATTCGGTATTGCGCATCGATTCCGAAGACGAAGCTGTGCCACGGCGTTCCTTTGCCATAGGCGTGCGATCCGTCTCGTTCTCGTTATCTGTGGCTTCGCGCGAGGATGCGGAGGACTGGCTCGGTGCCTTTGCGACGGGCGGTGGTCTGGCGGGTGTCTCGGAGGGCGTCGTCACCGGCGTTGACCTTGCAGACAGCGCTGCCATCATGCTGGATGCATGATCTGGTGGTGACGAAGAAGGCTTGAACACGTCTGCGTGCGCAGCATCGGTGCCGACCACGGGGTTTGCTGGGCTAGATATCGATGGCGACCTGAACGGCTTAGGTATCGGCGTCGCGGTAGTAGGTGAGCCCATGGCATCAACGCTCGTAGAGGAGCTATTCAAAGGACTGTTCGGCCCCTTATTCTGAATCTTCCTGCCGAACAGGCCCGTCGGCGGTGTGTTCTCAACGATCGGCATACTGTGGCTCTTTTCGATCGGTCTCATGTCGCTTTGCACATCGCCCGTCTCTTCGAGGTGATCGACCCCCTCCACATCGCCCTCTCCAGCCACGTTGGTCTCCGCGCTAAGTGAACTGACCACGGCGTCGTCGTCGTCCCAAATTCCGCCCCGCCATTTCTTGTGTTCCGTATTGAAGAAGGGCATGTCGTCCCAGAAGGGCTGTACCAGAGTCTCGGCGATAACCTCCTTGATCCGGTTCTCAATCTGTCGTAAAATAATGGTGTACGTAATCTGCCTCGCGCTCACAATTGGCTCGATTGTCATTTCAATCTTTGGCATGCTGTGGAATGACAACCATATTCTGTTACTCGGCGGGGGCTTGATTTTGAATAGCATGTGGCCCTCGAGCTTCTTGATGACCACTGCGAGAACGAGATCGACCTCGCGGACTTTGAAGCGTGCGCCCAAGTCGATGCGGGCTGTAGCTGCAACTTCCATTCGGAAATTGCCCGTGTACCGCACATCGGCCTCCATCACGCACTCCCCCTCGACATTTAGATCCTTGTGACGCGGGTTTGTGATTATAGGTGCAGACTCGCCGGTGTCGATGCGGCGAATTGCAATGTTGGTGAGAAATGAAGGCCGCTTGACACGGGCAATCTTCTTGGTGAGCTTCTCACGGATCAAGTGCTCGAGGTCCGTCGTCCTGTAGATGCCCAGGAACACACGACCAATCATGGCATTCAACCACCTCGTGGATAGGTGCTCCTCGGACGAGTGCAGCTTCTGCACCAACGCAATGATGTTCTTGACCTCGAATTGTTTCGGCCTGGGCGCCTTTCTCTCAGCGCCAAAGTTTTGCTCCTGGTTACGGAGCATGGCAAAGTAAAAGTCCTCCTTGGCGGAACAGTTCTCTGAGAAGAGGTAGAACGGCTTGGACAGCTGGCTGTCCGGTCCGACCTCGGGGCCATCTGACCTCCTCGATAAACACAGCGCATTTCTCTTGATGTAAAGCTCGCCTTCTGGTGTGACATCTCCTCCCGAGTATATGCTAATGTCGTGGTGCAACAAGGAGACTACGTGCCGGACCTCGAGTTGTTCGTCGTCGTCAAAGAGCATCAAATGCCCATGTCTGTGGCAAGTTAGTCTCTGGAGTAAACGAGCAGTTGCAAACGGATCGCAAGGGGGGTCGCAAACCTCAGTACGACATAGAAGACATTACCAGCGTTCTTGGGACGCTGGCTCAGCCCGTTTCTGTTATCCAAGGGTCCTGGCGTCGGTTTCCGCTCGAATATGCTCTTGTACATGGTCTGATAGACGCTCTGGCTCGGCGCGGCGACGGTGGTCGGGCCGGTCGGGGTGGACCTCTCGATGGGCTTCGCGTTGATACCCATGGGAGTGTACTCTCTGCACACGGCAAAGTACCCCGCCGCGACGTCGTTATCCTGCGCCGAGCGCTTCGTAGCTGCCGTGGTCGCATCGTCCTTTGCCGTGGCCTTCACGGCCTCGAGGGCGGTGAGGTCGTCGTCGGGCTGGACGATGGAGCCCGGACCGCCGGCAGCGGCAGCGGCGTCGACAACTGGATCGCGATTCGTCTCGGCATCTTGTCGGTATGGGAGGGTAAAGTAGGCGTGGGCGAAGACGGTGAGGATCACCAAGGGCAGGAAGGTCAGGCCTCCTAGGAGGTAAGTGATGAGGAAGCCGGTCCAGCCCCCCATCGCGCGATTCCCGGAGCTTTTGCCGGTTTGTTTCCCTCTCACACTTTGTCTGAACTCCTCACTCTTCGCGCGGCACTTGTAGCAGTGCTGCTAACGGAAGGACAGCAGACAGAGAGGAGAGATAGGCGGGACCATCGGCGCTTAGGTCGTTTACGAGAACGAACAGTGTTCGGGCGGGGGAGGGTCGTATTGGATCGGGAGCGTGTGGCAGCGGTTGGTGGTGGTGCTTGTGGAGAGAGAGGGAAGCTCTTTGTTTCAGGATGGACAAGTATACGGAAGCTTGGTGTGCTGTTTGGAGTAGGCTCAACTATTCGGTAACTTTTTTTTGTGTGTGGTGGACAATAGAAAGTGGACAAGATAGCTCTCGTGGATCTGGGTCTTGGCCACAGGGCGTTTCTGGATCGATAAAATGGATCAGGTAAGACAATGGAGAGAGAGATGCAGGTCACTGGGAACCTTTGGGATGGACGTCCAATAGGTCGCTCTGACGCCGTCATGTGATGGTAATGGTAGCTTTGCGGCGTCCCTTGTGAAAGCTGGCAGCAACAGGCGAATGGATGGGATGGACGAAGAGAGGGTTGCAGCACTACTCAGCCGACCAAAAGTTAACTTAATGGAAGACAGGAGCAAAGCAGATGGTTCAGGGCGGATCGAGAGCCAAGGCGACCTAGAAGCTGTTGAAGAGAAAGTATGAAGTGGCCTTACGGTGTGCCTTCGCTTTCCAGATTGCCCGAATGTGGAGAGTGGAAGGTGGAAAGTGAAGCGGTAACCACTAAGCTGAGGGTTCCGAGTGACCCGCAGACCGCTGTTCCCTACCCTCTCTGGGCAAGTCTCCAAGACTCCAACTGCCCTGTGGGCTGTGGCTCTGGCCCCAATCTAAGGTACGGTCGAGCCGGTAATGAGCATCCCTGCACCTCATCTTTCCTAGGTAGCTAACCTTTTACCCCGCGAGAAACGAGGAGAGGGGACCCCTGGCGAACAGTGAGGTCACTAAGCAGCAGTAGCTCATACGAAGTAGCACTGCAAGAGTTCGGCTCTTGGATCGCTTTTCCCCATCTCCTCACGATGTCATCAGTCAGTCAATAAACCGCCATCTCTACCTCTAGTGCATGCGTCTGATAAGTGTGTGCTTGTCTGTCGCCTCTACCGGTACTTCATTCTATGTACACCGAATCGGACGGAGCCGTGTCCGTCCAATCCCATCCACCCACCTTACTCGAACAGTGGCTTGCCCTTGCCGTGACATCATAACCTCCTTATCAATCATTCTATCTGCGAGAGGGCCGTAGCGCTATACCCGCCCCATCATCTTTAGACCGGTCACCGACACAGACTTCATCCTCACTGTGTAAGATATCCAGCCTCCATGGTATTATCCAGCCAAACACCCAAAATGACAATGGCCACACCCATAACACCCGTAACATAAATCGTGATCCGTTCACAATCGTACAAAATCACCACTCCAACGCGGCCCTCCCAGCCTTCGCAACCAGCTCCCGAATGACAGGCTCCAGCGCGCTCTTCTCTGTCTTTAGTCGCGCGCTCTGCTTGACCCGCGAGTAAAACACGGGACAGTCCTTGCTGTCGCACGGCACCTCATCCGCCGCCGGTAGCGCTGAGCAGCTTCGACAAACCTTCAACACGTCCATGTACTTCCTCTCCTCGTCCTTGAGTCGCGTCTGTAGGTTGAATAGCGAACTCGGCGCGTCTTGCTGGCACCTCCCACATAGTACGCCCTCCACATGCATCTTGATATTACATGAGATACACGATGCCGACTTGAGGTACGACTCCAGCGTCTTCTTGCTGCCGAGGCCCCCGGCCGCTCCAAGTGTCTGATCTACACGCCGGATTCGCTGCACTTTGGGCATCTCGTCGTACCACTGCCGGACATTGGCGCCAACCAGGTTAAAGATCCTCTCCAGCGGCGGGATCAGGTTCTTGGAAATGTAGTACTCCGCGTCCAGCTGCGAGTGCGAGTCGTTGAGCAGGTCTTCGGGCGCTACGCACCGGTCGATCAGACGCGCCCCGGGAGCACCCGTGATAACGACGTACGGCACCCGTTCTCCGTACTGCGGCTCGGCGCGCGCGTCTTCGAGCATCTTCTTGGTGCTGATGAGCGCACCCGGTGGCGGCGGGCCCTTGTCGCTGTATGTGCCGAGCTTCACCTCCCTCGCGTAGCAAAAGTCTTGCACCGAGACGGACCCGCGCATGATCTTTTCGCACTGCTTCTGGAAGTAGGCCTTGACCTCGCTGAGGTTCGCCGTCTCGAAAAGGAGCTTGAGGGCTTTCTCTTCAATCTTTTGCTCCGCCGGCGTCCCGTCACGCCTCACCGTCTCGATGCCTTTGGCGTCGAACTCAGGCGTGACCTGATCCTTGCTCTCGTACTTGTAACCCACGTAGCGCTTCTTCGCTAGGAGAACACACGGGTGATAGACCTTTTCAAACTTGAGCTTGACCGGTCTGGGGTTCATATCGGTGATGGCTTTGGCAATTTCGTTGCCAATGTCGAACGCCTGATCCTTGGTTCGACCCTTGAGATACACGAACAGACTGTCCGTGTCGCCGTAGACGACTTCCGCTCCCCATTGCTCCTGTGAGTGAATAAACGCGATAGCTCGCTCGAGCGTCTCGCGGCCTGTTTGAACGATACTGTCGGCAATCTCTGAGCAAGGCATACGACCAGAGAAAGATGCCGATGTGTATCCGTAGGTAACGTTGGCCAAAAGCTTCAGCGCCAGCTGCCTATTATTCAGCAGCGCCTGCAGCGTTTTGTCGTCCTTGTCTTGCTTCATCCCGCTCTTGACCATGACTCGGGTCTCCAAGATCTCGCCAAGCATCTTTGCGAGGAGAGATTTCCGAATCTCAGGCCGGACGTACATCATTCCGTTGGGCGTGATGTTGATGTGATCCTTTAGGAGCTCCAACAGCCTCTTGTGCCTCTGATACTCGGTGAAGCCCATCTTGTTCATCCCCCGCCAATTGACAATCCTGCCTAGGAATGTCGAGTAGCACAGATTATAGGCAATCATGACACTGGGGTACAGACTCTGGAAGTCAAGTACCAACAGCGGGCTGTTGTAAAAGTCGCTTTGGGGTTCCATCACCAGCGGGAGGCATTCCAATGCGTTTTGGCCGCCAACTTGCTTCCGACTGGGGGAAACTAGCATGAAGTTCTCGGGTTTTGCAATTCTGAACATAATGGACTCGACCTTGAATTGAGAACCGCGGGAAAAGACCGAGAAGAAGTCCACTCCCAACAGTCTAGCTTGCTCACTTGTTCTCGGTATGAGCTCGTTTGACTCCAATATCTGAATATCGATCCTCGTTCGTGTGAGGTAGTAGCGCGTCAGTTTGTCGAGGTCCCTCTGCCTACTGCTGTTGTACCATTGTGTCAGGGTTCTCCAGGAGTAGTGAGGTATGCGGCGGTGCAGAACGTGCCAGACGACATTCTCCATCGTATATTGAAGCAGGTTCAATTCTCCTCTCATGGCTCGCCAAATGTTGATCATGTGTCTGCCAGTCACGCGGATCGTCGACGTTGTGTTGAAGCCCCACCGATCATTCTCCTTTCCGATACGGCCGTGAGAGTTACTCTTCATACGTGAGAACTCGTCGCACAGATCGTAGTCGTACTTTACTCTGGCGCGTTCGATGAGATAGCCCCATGAGCTGCCATGAACCTCATAGCCTGTAAGGATATCAGGGTCGTGGTCTCTGACAATTTGCACCATGCGAACCATGACATCGAGCTCGGAAGATTCCTCGATAACCTCTGCAGAAACATAGCGCCGCATCCTCTGGGCGAGGGAACCATCTGGCGATAGGACAACGACACCAGCAATGATTCCCCCTGAAGCTTCCTGACTACTGCTGGCGGTGCCATCTGCTTTGATAGACCAGAATATGCACTGAACCTCATCCTCGTCAGGATTAGGAACAAACTTGCCCCGTGTGTTGACGTGAACCTCGAGGGCCATAGTACTCATGTATTGCGCTTCATGCTTGACACTGGTCGACTTTTTCTTGGGCGAGTATTTGAAGCCATGCTTGTTTTTCGGGGTAGGTCCATCAATCTGGGAGAGGTCGCGCCTCGTAGCTTGAGGGGTGCCCGTGATCTTTGCAGTAACGTTCTTTTGCGCTTTCTGCAGGGGATGCTTCTTGTTCCACCAATCTTGAACTTCTTTGGCGCTTGGAGGCGGTTGAGCTATCTCCCAGCTTCGATATGAACACAAGCTTGCTTGGGCGTCATAACGCACGTCGTTCTTGGCCTTGTCAATGGATGTGTCTGATTTGATGCCCATGCTGGCAGCAGATGTCCCAGTTGGATCAAACTCCGCCAGATACGGTAGAGTATTACTCTCGAGCCGAAATTCCCGACCGGCATACTCCCTGGGACGAGCCGGGACATCCTTCTCCTCGCTGTAGTAGGCATCTTGGTAAATCATATCGGGAATCTGCAGGTCCTTCATTGTCGACATGATAAGTTTTGGAGCGGGAGGCAGGACGCCAATCACACACTGGCGTTTTGCGGAAAAGGATCCGATCGCTGTCTGTATCCGATGAAGAATTGTTTCTGTTCCTGCTTCGGTCCCAAGTGAATCCGTTGTAGGAGTGGCAATTCGAACCTTCTTTGCTGGAGTGACCGGGCTGGGCTTGCTACGTGTCTCCTCCGATGCTACATTGAAGGAAACATGTTTTGGAGAATCCTTTTCAGCTTGTTGCGAGGCCCGAGGCGGGTTCATCTGGCTCAATCGAAGTTTCGTGCCCGGGTCCTCCTGGCTTTTGACTACTGGAAAACCCAATAACTGATTGGCCGCAGATTTCGAGCCTGCATTTTGAGAGGACCGTGGCTTGTCTTGGGAGTTTGGCGGCAACATCGTGACCTGATGCTTCTCAGAAGCTGTGCTATTACTTAGGATGCCTTTGAGCGACGGTTTGGGCACTACTGCATCGGACGCCGGAGCCACCGGAGGCTCGGTTCTCGAACGTTTGGTAGAAGACGCTATCGCATGCGGTGATATCGATCGCTTGACAGATTCTGTACGGCGATGACCTAGGCTTGATGGATCGCTCAGTTTTGACACAAGCCCTTCCTCCTCGGCCATGTCGAGCAGATCGTCCCAAACCGGTACCGTTGGTGGGTTCCCAGTCTTCAACCTGCTGGCACAGACGCCTTCGTATATAGATCCCAGTCCGTTGACGGTCTTCCTGACTGTCGGATCGCCAGCAACGGGTTGGCTTCTGGAACCAGTACCACTAGCGACTAATGGCTTTCCCTTGATACCGGTGCTATTGATTTGGTCATCCTGTCTTGCCTTCGGCTCGCCCATCTGAATGAGAGCCTCTTCGTCAGAGTCGGCTGGATAAGGGTCATAGTTGTCAACACCGAGATCGAGTACGCCCTGTTCGTCAACTTCGATGCTGCTGGCTGGATTCTTGTTTGCGGGAGCATGGTTCGACGGCAGTCCTAGAGCCGGTAGCAGGTTGGCGGGATACAAATCTTCTACTGACTGGAGTGCGGTCTTGACGGCAGCCTCAAGCGGCGAACGCTCCACAAAATTCTCAAAGCTCGGCGGCGCGGAGTCTTCCAACCCCTTTTCGGTTTCAATGAGTTTTGCGACTTCTTCTTTGTACTCTTCCTCATGGATCCATCCTTGCGGTTGCGAGTCGCGTTTATTCGCAGACATTGAGACCAAAACTTCTGCAGGAAAAGGGCTGCTTCCTGGGTCCGCATTGGGCATTTTCATTTTGCGGCGACGCGTCTCGTCTTTCCATAGACCAGCCATGCTGTAAACAAGCTTGATATCTGCTGGGAGAGGTTTAACGCGCTCAACAAAGTCGTGATGTAGCTGACGCTCCTTCACCAATCGCCGATTGGTAATGTGTTGAACGCAAATGTCTACCTCGATAGAGCAGTGGCTGACCCTCGGCAGAGTCAGATCATCGAGGACTCGAGTCTTAGGAATCGTCCGGTCATGCCAAAGGTGTTGAGAGTTCCCCTCTTGATCAAATGAAGGGATAGGGCCTCTGAAGTATACATCGGACACATCCAAGTAGCCACACCCGTACAGGTTATAGTCGGTCATGAACTGTAGTAAGTACTGGAGGTGGGCTTCGTAGGGTTGGAACTTCTGCTTAAGAATGACGCCCTGTTGGAGCAGATCGGATAACCTTGTCATGACGATGGGATTGAACATGTAGATCTTCAGGAAGAAGCGGTATCCAACGTGGAAACCATAGAATGGCACCCCTTTGACAAGGGTGATGCGGGCGACGAACTTTGCATTTTCTCCGAATTGATCACGTCGGTAGCTGACAGCCAAGGCATGATCAATGGAGAGATGAAGTCGATAGATGTACGCGCCCACTTTAAGCAGTTAGCAAGGTCCATTATATGGTTGGAGGACTTATATACCATCCTCGGGCTCTAAGCTGCCACGATACTCGACGTAGACGTATGGGAAAGCGCCGTGTATGTGAGCGCAGACTTTCTGCCCCGTTTCTGTCGACCCAAAAACCCTCACGACCGGAACCTTGGGGCCTTTCTTCGCCTGTGCAGGGCCGACATCATTCCGTAATTGGGGATCATAATGCGTCGGCGTCGCCTGGTAGTGGTCTATGCAGTTCAACCGAACGCGGAAAAGGTCCATGGTGGAGGCTGTAAACACTCATGGAGGATGAGATGGTAGGATGGAGAACAATGTCATGATAAGGAAGAGCAGCGGTCGGCTTGGTGCATGGTCAGACGGGTTCAATGACACTAAGCAGCAAATTCACGACGCGACAAGGTCATGTTGATGCAGGATCCGACGCGTGCTGGGCCAAGAGGAAACGCCTAGGGTCCGCGCAGTCATGTGGCAACACGCGTGACACTTTGCTCCTTCGGTACGCCATCCTGCCTGGCCACTGTCCGCTAGAGTCAAGTAGGTACCTTGGTGTGGGGCATTCTCTAGGACATCTTACCTTACTGAAGCGTCCCGCAGGCTTAAGCATCTTCCACCTTACTATAGGGTCGCAATTCGTCATTTATTCAGCCATGAACTTGCTGGCGGATACACTTGAAACTTTGATATTGGATTAATTGAGACTTCCAATGCAAAGATATAGCGTGCTTATTCAAGAAGGACCAAACGAGAATTGAATGCGTAAATCTTGGCCATTCTGTATCCATACCTTAGCCATCCATGAAATATGAGGGCGACTGCTTACATAAGGATAAGGAGCCTTAATACCTGTGCTTTTCCCGACCCAGATTCGCGACGTGAATGCGCCGCCGCCCAAACTTTCTCTAGCAACAACCCTCTCATACCCTCACAAAACGCCAAGATGCCGCCGCCGCCTCCACCGCCGAGAAAGACCGACCCCAAGGCGTCCGCCGCCGCAAAGGAGGAGAATATCTACATTCCCTCTTTCATCAGTAAACGTCCCTTTTATGCCGGCGAAGAAGGCGATGACCAGACCGACTACCTTGAGCATCAGCGTATTCAGAAGAAAAATGAGCAGTCACAATGGTACGATCGCGGTCGCAAGGCCGGCCCGGCAGCCACAAAGTACCGGAAAGGCGCATGCGAAAACTGCGGCGCCATGACGCACAAAGCGAAAGACTGCCTCAGTCGGCCGAGGGCGAAAGGCGCAAAGTGGACTGGCAGGGACATTCAGGCCGACGAGGTCGTTCAGGACGTCAAGCTTGGCTGGGATGCCAAACGTGACCGCTGGAATGGATACGACCCTAAGGAATACCGCAATGTCGTCGAGGAGTTCAACGAGATGGAGAAGCTGAGGAAGCAGGCGCTTGCTAAGGGCGAGACGGAGGAGGAGGAGCAGGACGATGGCGACAAGTACGCAGAGGAGAACGACATGAGCAAACATCAAAGTACAGCTACGCGACAGCTGAGAATACGAGAGGACACGGCAAAGTACCTCGTCAACCTAGACTTGGAATCGGCAAAGTACGACCCAAAGACGAGATCCCTTGTGGACGGCGGCGCAACGGTGGACAAAGCTGCGAATCTCTTTGCAGAGGAAGGCTTCATGCGCGGATCAGGCGACGCCGGCGAGTTCGAGCAAGCACAGCGATACGCTTGGGAGGCTCAGGAGAAGAGTGGTGACACCACAAAACATTTGCAAGCCAACCCCACGGCTGGAGAGTTTTACAGGAAGAAGGAGAAGGAAGAGGCCGAGAAGAAGCGTGCAGAGCGGGAGAAGAAGCTCAAGGAGCTATACGGCGACAACTCGCAGTACACCATGCCCGACGAACTGAAGAACGTCATAACCGAGTCGGAGAAGTATGTCGAGTATGACGAGAGCGGCCTTATCAAGGGCGCGCCCAAGGTTATCGCCAAGTCAAAGTACCCCGAGGACGTGTACATCCACAACCACACATCTGTCTGGGGCAGCTGGTGGTCGAATTTTCAATGGGGCTACGAATGCTGTCACTCGGTGGTCAAGAACAGTTACTGCACGGGTGAGGAGGGCAAGTTGGCTTGGGAAGCTTCTGAACGGCAACGTACTGGTGCTTCATTGGCGATGCAAATGGAGCAACAGGCGGAGATTCCAAAGGCGGATGACACCCCGGTGAACAAGCCGGCGACGAAGCGGACAGCGGAAGAGATGATGGGCGGTGTCACCGAGGAAGAGATGGAGGAATACAGGAGAAAGAGGACAGCGGCGAACGACCCGATGGCCAAGTTCCTTGGCAAGGATGAATTGGTCTAGACTACCTAGGTATGTAGGCATGGCTTATGAGCATTGCATTGGACAAACATGATACCCATTTCCCTGTCAAACGTTCGCATGCAAGACGATGCCTTGAGGTGCCCTGAACTGAACAAGAAAAAGACTTTTGTGTAACATTCATTCGTGGTATCCGTATTTGATGCAATCATTCCATTTTGCCTCTGGCGAACGCCGTGACTATAAACACCCCGATGATCCCAATGGCTGGCTTTTGGTGTACCAACCATTCCCAGAGTTTTTTTTGACCAATCCTTAGCATTAATGGCGATGCATTTACTCGTCATCCTCCTCGTCGTCACCACCGTCACCCTTGGACTCGGCGGCAGCGGCCTTCTTTCTGCGGACACGGCCGGGGCGGCCACCACCGAAGGGCGAGGTAAGGGCGAAGTCGATGTGCTTCTGGGAGTCGAGACGGACGATGAAGGAGGGAACGTTGACGATCTGCTTGCCGACACGGATGTGACGCTGGCGGATGAGGACACGGGCGTGGTGGATGGACTTGGCGAGACCGAGCTTGTAGACGCAAGTCTGGAGGCGGCGCTCAAGGAAATCCTCGACCTTCAGGGCCAGGACGTAATCGAGCTTCATGCGGGACTCATCGAGGACACCGACGCGCACGAGACGGCGAATGAGGGCATTGCCTTCGAAGAGACGCTTGGGGTCCTTCTCGTCGAGGGTCAAAAGCTGACTGTGGTGATTGTTAGCCAGGGATATTCCCCCACGCGACCATTTTGCGACAGAGCCAAAATCACATACCGGGCAGCACGACGAATCTTGGAGAGGGTAAGCTGGACACGCCAGACCTCACGCTTGTTGCGGAGACCGTACTCGCCAACGAGCTTAAGCTCGGAGTCACTATTATCGTATCGAAGTCAGTGGTGTGATTCACGACTTAAACAGAGCAAGCTCTTGTTCAGTGGCCGGAGAATACTGACAGACGGGCGGCCTCGAAGGGACGGTTGGGGACCTTGGAGGTCTTGGAGTAGGTGAGGCTGTTGCGCGAAATCGAATTAGCATATTGGATTTGGCGATGCGACTGCGGTTCAGTCTACTTACGGCGCCATCTTGCCGACTCGTCGATATCCTTCGAATTGTGGTTGACGAAGAAAACGAAAGGGGAAAAAAAAGAAGAGCCTCTCGTGAAACTTGCAACACTCAATGCGAAAAATGGCTGTGGGGAGCGAGGGCTGACTAGCGCCTGTCAAATTGCGGGTCCTGTTCGCCTACGGTCACGTGCAGTGCCCTTTCCACAACGAAAAAAGAATTACGGGACTGAGTCAGCAGAGCACACACACGTCGCCGATTTTTTGCCTTGCCCGTTGTGTCTGGAACTTCGTGATCTTTTTCAAGACCCGACAACACCATCACCAAATTCCGCCCTCTACGACAACCACTCCGGCAAAATGGGTCACCCAGCGGGTCTTCGCGCGGGAACGCGCGTACGTATTACCCAGCTACGAATTAACTCGAGATTGCGGCCGGATTGCTGACGGTTAGCTTGCAGTATGCGTTCAGCAGAAACTTCCGTGAGAAGGGTATGATCAAGCTCTCCACGTACCTTCGCCAGTACAGAGTCGGAGATATCGTCGACATCAAGACCAACGGTGCCGTCCAGAAGGGGTAAGCGAACAACCCGCCCTCGAATCCGAATTGCGACAATTGGAAGACTCGGGGTCTTGGTTGGGAGGAATTGCGAAAATGGGTGCAATGCATGTGGGAGCAGAGGGCTGACTTGTCGGATTACAGTATGCCTCACAAGGTCTACCACGGCAAGACCGGTGTCATCTACAACGTCACCAAGTCCGCCGTCGGTATCATCATCTACAAGAAGGTGAAGCACCGCTACATCGAGAAGCGCATCAACATCCGCGTCGAGCACATCTCCCCCTCCCGTTCGAGAGACGACTTCATCCGCCGTGTCAAGGAGAACGCCGCCCTGAAGAAGAAGGCCCAGGCCGAGGGCAAGGCCCTCACCCTCAAGCGCCTCCCTCTCATGCCCCGTGAGGCCCGCACCGTCGACTTCAAGGAGAACAAGCCCCAGACGGTCACCCCTCTCCCCTACGAGACGACGATTTAGAGTGTCTTTTGGGTGGTTTGTGGGTTCTTCTTTTGCATGTGGTGTTTACGTGAGGAACGGAAGAATTCTAGCATGGAACGGCATCACGTTTTCGGCAACGTCCATAGGGAATGGGAAAAAAAAAGACCAATGACACTTCATCGTTCACACCTACACGAGGAAATGCTACCTGTGAGACCCGCTGGCCCTTTTGCGATCCTGCCGCGATGCCTCGGGTCCTGTCACTGTCAGGTCGGAGGCATTGGCACAGGTTCTGGTGTATGGTGTTGTGTGCTCGTGGGGAACAAGGTCAATGCGAGATGCCTGTGAAAGGCAGGCGAATAGTTGGCCCTGCTGCCCGCTGGGCCCTCATGATACCCTCAGTCAAATGAAGAACACGACCGACGATCATTTATCAAGTGCAACTATGTCATGGTGAACTGATATGTCGCTTGGGCAGTCATATTATAAAGCTCGTACGCGGCCAGCTCCTTCAGTGAGTATGAGCTACAACTACTCTATGAGCTGCTAGCCAGCGGGATGCCAACCTGCGGCTCTCTCAACATCGGTTAACTAAAAAGCAGCTGTGGTATAATTGAGCGATACTCTCTGCTCTTGCACTATCCTCATCATCCAGAGCTGTCAAAAGCATAAGCTCTTAATTCCGGATTCAGTCCTGCCTAGGTAGTCCCTGATAGGAGCTTCTTAGTTCAGACCTGATACATGCAAATGCGCTTTTGTGGCTACATTCCAGACGCAAAACCATCCCAGTGGCCTTACTCACGCACACCAGTTGCTATGCACCAACCAATTGCTGGATTTCCCCAAGCTTGATTTCTGATAACTCGTCGAGTTGTCTGATACTAGAGCCATGCCATGTTATCCCGTCGTTGGGGTTTTCTGGAATTCAACGACCGTTTGCTGTGAGCGCAGGGGCCTTTTAAACCAACTTCGGTGGCATGAACCCCACCATTATCGTCATGGGATTAGATCGGACAGGCATTCGCCTGTGGCTTCAGGTGCTTTGCCTGCGCTGGGACGCTGGAGGGGTGACACTGACACCGCTGCGTCCGCCGGATTAGCATTGTTCCAGATTTCATGCCCAACCTAACCCAGTGGAGGATCGCAACGACGACGGCTTGGCGCAATCCCCGGAGCTTGCGCATGTTGCAGAACCCAGCCACACTCGAGCTGCTTTAGACATCTTGGGAGCTTGGTCAACGCTGACGACTCCTTCCCGCCTCTCCCACTTGGCACGGAAGTCGCTCACGATATCTTCTTCCCCTCCAATTCCTGCGAATTTTTCTCCCCCAGATCTTTCACTGGGCTTCACTGCGACTCTTGGGCAGCATTGCGTGCACGTGGAGCTGTCTCCTTAAACCGTCGGGAGACGTCATTTCCTCGAACCATCCGAAACCCCCATTACGCGCCCTTCACCCCCGACCACCACTAACGACCCCGCGAACGAAAAATCGCCCATCATGGCTGCCGTGCCCGATACCAGGCATACTAAGTCCGTAATCCTCAACCATCTTGAGACTTCGTGGCCCAATCGTGGCTGTCTCCCCGCCTTTGCGACTGTGCACTGACACTCTGTGAAGGACCGACCAGGAGTTGGCGATCAACATCAAGAAGGCCACGAACCCCGACGAGACGGCGCCGAAGCGGAAACATGTGCGCAGCTGCATTGTGTACACATGGGACCACCGGTCTTCTCAGGCCTTCTGGGCCGGGATGAAGGTGTAAGTGAACTATTGTAAGTCGGGAGATGGGCCGATTGCTGACAGGCGGCGCCGCGTTGTAGGCAACCCATTCTTGCCGACGAAGTTCAGACTTTCAAAGCCCTGATTACGGTCCACAAAGTCCTCCAAGAAGGACACCCGAACACGCTGAGGGAGGCCATGGCGCAGAGAGGTTGGATCGACAGCTTGAATCGCGGCATGGGCGGAGAGGGAGTGCGCGGATACAGCCCTTTGATCCGGGAATACGTTTACTACCTCTTGGCGAAGCTTTCTTTCCACCAGCAGCATCCCGAGTTTAACGGCACTTTCGAATACGAGGAGTACCTCAGCTTGAAGGCCATCAACGACCCCAACGAGGGGTACGAGACAATCACAGACTTGATGACACTGCAAGATAAGATTGAGCAGTTCCAGAAGTTGATCTTCTCACACTTCCGTCACGTTGGAAACAACGAGTGTCGAATTTCCTCTCTCGTGCCCCTCGTGCAGGAGAGTTACGGTATTTACAAGTTTATCACAAGCATGCTTCGCGCCATGCACTCGAGTAAGTTGCATCGGACCCCCTCCCCCTTGGCGGACAAGGGTGATTTCGCTAATCGGCTACAGCCACCGGCGACGTCGAGGCGCTTTCGCCCCTACGAGAACGATACGATGCCCAACATTACCGCCTCGTCAAGTTCTACTACGAGTGCTCGAACCTGCGCTATCTGACCAGCTTGATCACGATCCCCAAGCTGCCGCAAGACCCTCCCAACCTGTTGGCGGAAGACGACGAGGCACCCGCACTTCCGGCGCGCCCGAAGCAGGAAATTGAGAGACGCCCCACTCCACCCCCTGAACCGAAATCACAGGAGCCAGATGACATTTCCGAATTCTGGAAGAACGAGCTGGAGCGCCAGAACCGAGAGTACGAAGAGCAGCAGAGAGTCCTCGAGGAACAACAGCGTCAACAGATGTTGATGCAGCAACAGGCGCAGCAGCAGGCACAACGAGACTTTGAGGAGCAGCAGCGGCAGTTGGCGGAGCAGCAGCGCAGGGAACAGGAGGCCCTGATGCAGCAGCAAATGCAGTATCAGACCCAGGGTCGGCTTGCAGAGTTGGAACAGGAGAACTTCAATGCGAGAGCCCAGTATGAGCGTGACCAGCTTATGCTTCAGCAATACGACCAGAGGGTCAAGGGTCTGGAGAATGAGCTTGCACAGATCCAGGGACATTACGGCCAGCAAATCACGAGCAAAGATGAGCAAATCAGAGCTCTACAGGAGCAAGTCAACACGTGGCGGACGAAGTATGAAGCGCTCGCAAAGCTGTACTCCCAGCTTCGCCACGAGCACTTGGATCTGCTCCAAAAGTTCAAGTCTGTGCAGCTCAAGGCTGCCTCAGCCCAGGAGGCCATTGAGCGGCGAGAGAAGCTTGAACGCGAGATCAAGACGAAGAACCTCGAGCTCGCTGATATGATTAGAGAGAGGGACCGCGCGCTCCATGACAAGGACCGCTTGCAGGGTGCCAACAAGGATGAGCTCGAAAAGCTCAAGCGAGAGCTCCGCATGGCCCTGGATCGTGCCGACAACATCGAGAGAAGCAAAGGAAACGAGCTCTCAACAATGTTGTCTAAGTACAACCGTGAGATGGCCGATCTCGAGGAGGCCCTACGACTCAAGTCTCGCGCTCTGGACGACGCCCAGGCCAAGATCAGGAATGGAGACTCTGACCTTGAGCAGCTTCTTCGCGACAAGGAGGAGGAGCTGGAAGTCTACAAGGCCGGCATGGATCAGACACTTATCGAGCTCAACGAGCTGAAGTTGAACCAGGGCGATACTGACACCGTTATTGACGGGCAGATTGATGCCTTGATCATGGCCAACCTGGACAAGATCAACGACATCATCGACTCTGTGCTACAATCCGGTGTGCAGAGAGTAGATGATGCGCTTTACGAGTTGGATTCAACGATGCAGGCCGGAAACCAGAACGCATCGCCATCCTACGTGCTCTCGCAGATTGAGAAGGCCTCGTCCAGCGCCATGGAGTTTGCTACGGCATTCAACAACTTCATCGCCGACGGCCCCAACGCGACTCACGCCGAGCTCATCAAGGCCATCAACGTCTTTGCTGGCGCTCTTGCGGACGTCTGCAGCAACGCCAAGGGTATCACCCGTTTGGCAACCGACGAGAAGAAGAGCGATGCTCTGATGAACGGCACCCGGCAGTCCGCTTCTTCTACCGTCAAGTTCTTCCGCGGCCTTCAGAGTTTCCGCCTGGAGGGTATGGACCCCATCCAGAAGACGGACGTCGTCATCAACAGCAACAACGAGGTGCAGATGAACCTTCAGAAGCTGAACAAGCTCGTCG